GTTGCTTCTCGCCATTAATCTGTTTCCTTCACTCACACGCGCGCGCACCCCGTGGCAAAGACAAAGGAAAAGCCCTCCCCATTCTCTTTCTAGTCTTAGTTTTCTGGCAGGCCTTTACGGGAGTGGATAAAGCCATCCGGGCCTAGAGACATTGGCAAACTTTGTGATCCTGCGAGGCCATCCTCTTTAGAGAGCTTCTGTCCTACTGATGTTTAGATGTCTTGGTACTAAACGATGTGAGCTTTCAGATCTAGAAGCGTAGCTGCTACAGAAGGGACCACTTTTCCTGACCACCCGCGAGGAGTGAGAAGCTCTGTATTTCACGCACTTCACATTCGCAGAAATGCCATCACTGTCTTCTGCAGGGACCCTTGCTGTTTTAAATGACGCCCACAAGGCCATTTCCTTAGGGGCTGTTGTTTCAACCTGGGAAGCATCATGATGTGAAGTGTCACGTTGAGGGGGGCTCTGTCACCCTTTCACAAGGTAGCTTTTTGTTGTTGGAGCATCACCAAGAGTACTCAAGATCCATTAGCACGGAGCATGTAAGCCCACATGGAAGCTACTCCGCTGAAGTGAAGTGAAAGTCCCTCAGTTCTGTCCAACTCTTTGCAACCCCATGGAGTATGTAGGTCATGGGATTCTCCAGGCCAGAATGCTGGACTGCCTAGCCTTTCCCTTCTCCAGGGAATCTTCCCAACCCAGGGACCGAACCCAGGTCTCCCTCATTGCAGGTGGATTCTTTATCAGCTGAGTCACAAGAGAAGCCCCACACTTCCCTGACCCACGCACAAATAAAAAGATACCGGTTCGTTTTTCACAGGGAGCCTAGACCAGCCAGCATCTTTCTTATACCCGCCAGTACCTTGATCCCCAGCCCATGAAGCCCTTCACTTCCAACTTCCGCAGGTAGGCTTGCTGTGAAGATTAAGACAGTTTATGTGTGCTGAGCGTGGAGCTCAGGGCCTGGTGCAGAGTGAACAGTAGTAATAGCAATAGTAATATTGCCTTTGACTTTCTGGCCATGGGAATGAACCTCTGTTATCTCCATGCTTCCCATAAACTAGTGCAAGGGTTATTAACCTTGATTCACAGAGATGGATGCTCAGTCAGGTTCAGTAACCAGCCCAGGGTCACCCAGCCAGTTAGACGGTGCCGTCGGGGTTTGAACTCAGAGTGCTCCCATCACACAAGCTCCGTCCCAAATGTTCGCGGTATCTATCCAGCGGTCGTGACAGTATTGTAAATGGTTTGCTTAGCCCGAGTCCCCGGAGGTTTGTTCTGTGGAGACAAGTCCATTATGTCAATGCCTTTGAAATCAGCTGGAGGCAGTCCTTCGGTGCGCGGCTTTTAGCGCCTACTGAGCAGGTGGAGAAAGAAGAGCAGTGAACAGGGTGCTTTGCAGCTGGAGGAGGGCTTCTTGTGCCGCCCAGGTTCTCCGGCGCGGCCGCGGTTTAAGGCCTCCGAGGAGAACTGCTTCATACGAAGGCAGAAGAGATGGCTGTTCCCACGCTCTTGTGATTTTCGGGGAAAAGGCAGGTCCCCTACAGCGTATCCTCTAGATCCAGATGGTCTGATATGAAAGCATCCGAAGAGCCAACATTAAAGAATCATTCTCCTGAGGTCTCTCCTCTCTCTAGAGTCCTCTTTTCAGAGGAAGATGCCCACAAGCAGGAAAGCACCAGGGTGACCGTCTCCCTGCAGGGCAATGAGCGTCGGCATCCGGGCTGGAGAGGAAAGGGAGCGCGGCGACAAAGGAGAGAGGCGGGCATCTGGGTGTTCTCCCCAGGCGCCCCGGGGAGTATCTTTGATTCGATCTTGGCTTCATGATCTTGGTGGGTTTTCTTGCTGCTCTCTGCTCCTTTTTTGACCAGGAAGGGGAAAGAGGGATGCCAGACGAGGGGGTGTGGGTGGAGGGTGGAGGTTAAGGGAGGAGTTGGGCTTCCCTGTGGCTCAGAGGTAAAGAACCCGCCTGCCAGTGCAGGGGATGTGGGTTCGACCCCTGGGTTGGGAAGATCCCCTGGAGAAAGAAATGGCAACCCACTCCAGTATTCTTGCCTGGGAAATCCCATGGACAGAGGAGCCTGGAGGGCTGGAGTCCGTGGGGTCGCAAAAGGGTATCGACTTAACAAGGGAGGGATTGGCTGCCTGGTTGAATGGCGGTGAATGGACACAAGGGAAGTTGTGTCTCACCCCTGGCAACCCACTCCAGTATTCTTGCCTGGAGAATCCCATGGACAGAGGAGTCTGGCAGGGTACAGTCCGTGGAGTCTCGAGAGTCGGACACCACTGAGCGACCAAGCCTCCAACACACGTGTGTGCAAAAATGCCACAGACACACCCCATATGCAGACGCCCACCCTCCTCCGCAGCGTTTAAAGAGAATAACAGTGCCCCCTGGTGGCGATTTACAAATAAGACACCTCTAACCTCCACTGAGGTTTAAACTTCCCTGGTGGCTCAGGTGGTAAAGCGTCTGCCTACAATGCTGGAGGCCTGGGTTCACTCCCTGGGTCAGGAAGATCTCCTGGAGAAGGAAGTGGCAACCCCACTCCAGTATTCTTGCCTGGAAAATCCCGTGGACGGGAGGAACCTGGTAGGCTGCAGCCCATGGGGTCGCAGAGTCGGACTCGACTGAGCGACTCCACTAAAGCTCCGTGGAAGAAGACACGTGTCGTGTCACTCTGCACTTAATTTACAAGGTGGACAGGTGAAAGTGCCCCATGGCCCTCTTGTCCTTTTCTTGGAAAATGAGCTGAGCCCTAAACGTCCTTCTGAGAAGAGCTTTGCAGCATTCCTGGGGGTCGTCTGGGTGAGCGGACAATACCTAGAAAACAGCTCCTGAACAAAACGCCATGTCCTTGGTATCTTGAGGCCCTGGCTTTGTGCTTGCTCGGGAAAGAAGCAGCAGGCTTAAGGAACGGGGATCGGTGAAGAAAGTCTTGATTTCAGGAATCAATTCCAGCCACTGTGCATTTTATCTGTAAGCCGCAGCAAGAGCCGAGAACCCTGTACTGATTCAACATCATCAGTTTCTGCTTCTCTGACTTGAGCATGGTCTCTCCAGTAATGGCCCGTCTCCCCTCGATACAATGAAAAGAAACGCCATCCATTTGCCTCACCGAATCCCTACCTTGTAGAGGCACTGTGCCTGCAAGCTGCTGACATCAGGGTCAATGCAGACATACCTGTGGGCCTTTGCTTTCCTCCTAGGAACTCAGACAGCCCAGGTCACACGTGATCTTTGTCTCATCTTTATCTTATCCAGAATCAATGAGATTGTGCAGACACTGAGCTTAACTCACGGCTGGTACCTCCTACTGGTTCTGTAACAGCGGCTCTGAATGTATCTAATGTGTCTGGAACTCCCTGTATGTATAGGAACTAAAAGCTATTTCTAGGGAGCAACATGAATTTTTAAATGCTTTGGGATTTTAAAAGGACTCATTAAAAGGCATTGGGATTTCCAGCTGTGAGATCTTTTATTTATGTAGGAGTTCAAAGAGTGCTTTGCAAGTGCTAGCTTGTGAATCTTCTCAAAATCCCCTGGAAGTGACTGGCCCCCCAAAAAGGGAACACGGATGAACTGTTAATCTGAGTAATATGGCAGTAAAGTCAGGACAGGGCAGGGAACAAGCCGTTCTTAACCCCGCGGCCCCCCAAGTCTGGAGCCATAAAGCTCCCTTGTAAACAACCTGGTTTTGCCTGTAAGTTCTAGGTAAGGGAGACTCTTTATTTGCCCCAAGGTGGGGAAGGAATAAAGCTCTAAAATAATTGTGGATGAGCTAGGAGCAGGATAATAAGGGAGGAGGATGGAGGAGGGTTCTTGTTGTCCCTTCTCCTCCCCGACATTTGATTACAGGTGAAATCAGGTGAGAGTGAGAATCAAGAGACACAGAGAGGAGTGATATAAGGGGCACCAGGGGGCTTGCAGGAGGTTTTGGGGGAGGGTCTGTGTCCTTGCCTTTTCAGCTTCTGTTGGCCGCCTAGGTTCCTTGGCTTGTTGCCCCTTCCTCCACTTTCAAGGAGTACCCCTCCAGTCTCTGCTTTCATCATCACATGGCCTTTTCCTTTCTTCCCTAGCTCTCCAGATTTGTATGCAGGTCAGGAAGCAACAGTTAGAACTGGACATGGAACAATAGACTGGTTCCAAATAGGAAAAGGAGTATGTCAAGGGTGTATGTTGTCCCCCTGCTTATTTAACTTATGCAGAGTACATCATGAGAAACACTGGGCTGGATGAAGCACAAACTGAAATCAAGATTGCCGGGAGAAATATCAATAACCTCAGATATGCAGATGACATCACCCTTATGGCAGAAAGTGAAGAGGAACCTTAAAGCCTCTTGATGAAAGTGAAAGAGGAGAGTGAAAAAGTTGGCNAAAGAGTTGGACACATTGTGCAACTGAACTGAACTGAACTAGCTCTCCCCACATTCCTGATATAAGAATCCTGGTGATGCTGTTGGCTCACCAGGGTAATGCAGGATCATCTCTCCATCTCAAGGTGGTTAACCCCGTTTGCAAAATCCCTCTGCCATGTAAGGTGGCATTCCCAGGTCCTGGGCACTTAGACACCTCTGGGAGCCATTGTTCTGCTTCCCACACTGAGAAATCAGGGCAGAGAGACTTGGTGATATTTCAAAGAGAAACCTCTATCATATGGAAATCTTTCCATAACATCAGTTTCTCTAAGTCCAAGGACTATGGACTATTTCACATAGGAGTTGCCCTTGCAGTTCTGAAACCTGAAGATGGGGCCTGTGCTTCTCAACATGTTCCCCACCTTGGGGGCAGGGTCACCGCTGGGGCTCCTCTGAGCTAGGGGTGGTGAGACCCTAAAGTTGTACACATGTCTTCCTCCAGCAAGCAGGGCGAGCCTTTAAAGTCCAGCCTTCCATGGAGTCTTAACCACTGGACTGCCAGGGACGTCACAAGATAAATATTCAAAGGATCAGAGGCAGACACGGCCCCCCGGGAGACAGCAGGCGGGACTTTTATTGTTCCAATTATTTTTTTTAGTAGCCAATATCTTTTGAAATGCTTATCTCAAAGTACATTCAAATATCAGCTACTTGTACCTACACATGAAAACAGGCCTTGATTACAAAAGATAATGAACAGATAACAAAGGGAAAATGGAAAGAGTGTGTTCATAAATGCCTCAGCAACAAACCAATCAACTTCTGGGTACTGAAGGCTTTAGGTTTTGTTCTGTGAGTGTAGCTGGGTGATGAGGAATAAATAGATGTAGGTTGTCACCAGTTAGAGTGGCTGACAGGTCCTTCCATTTCCCTGGTGCCTGTGACAGTGAAGTGGGTGCAGGTTGAGGGGGAAGGTCAGATAGTAAGAGAGGTTCATTAAACTCATCGTTTGCTCAGCTGCCTGGCACAGGTGAGTACTTTCAAACCTTTGTTTTCACCACCTACCACTCGTTTGAAATAAAAGAGCCAAAATGTATTAAAGCAACAACAAATGAAGTGCAGGCAAATCAGTTAAGAAAAGCATTTGGTATTTCTTGTTCTACTTTTTCTCTTGGCTCTTTCAGATCAAGACCCCCTCGCCAGATGCTCTCAGGCTCAGATCCTTTCAAGAGCTGGCAGCAAAGGCAAGTGTGACAGGGAGGAAGGGCCAGGCCTTGGGAGGTCTTCCTGCTGGAGGGGCAAAGCGTTCTGGATGTTCTGAGGTGCTTTTGGCAACTTTTTTTCTTTTCTTTTCTTTTTTCACTAAGGCCAAAACTAGGGTGTTGGAAAGAGGTGGTCTGGCTGGTAAGCATGTGCGTGAATGCCCCTGTTAACGTTTTTTGTGTGAAAATTTACCAATCCAGATGGACAGATTAAGGGCAATTGGAACTGGCGGTGGCTCTGACCTTGTTCAAAGATGGGGAACTCACCCTTCCCCAGGCTTCTCGGCTCCCCTGAGCCAGAATTCCTGCAGTTCTCTCTCAGACACTGCACTTTAGCCCTTGGCAAGTCAGGCCAAGCTGTGGTCACTAGCCAGTTACCTGGAGCTGGTCTGCAGGGTCCAAATCCATGCTCCATCATTTTCTTCCTCTGTGACCTTGAGCAAGTCCAGCAGTCCTGGGGGCTCCAGTTTCCTCCTCTGTAAAACGGACACAACACCTCCATCCGTCACAAAGCCTGAATGAGAAAAGCAGTTGACGTTGTGCCAGGCTCATAGGACCTGCCTAAATACTAGCCCTTATTATTATTAGGGACTCAAGCTCTGTCTTGCTTAGCTTTGGAGCTCATCAAAGGCCAAATAACCTGAATGCGTTTTACTGCTTGAAGTGTTTTGCTGTTTTAGTTGCCAAGTCGTGTCTTGCGACCCAATTGCCTGTAGCCCGCCAGGCTCCTCTGTCCGTGGGATTTTCCAGGCAAGAATATGGGAGTGGGTTGCCATTTCCTTCTTCAGGGTATCTTCCCGATGCAGGGATTGAACCCTTGTCTCCTGCATTGACAGGCAGATTCTTTACCACTGAGCTACCAGGGAAGTCTAAATGTTTTGGGGCACAGTTATCACTTCCCATTGACATTCCATTTACATACGGTACAGATTATTTTCAGAGTGATATTTGAGAGGATTTTGAATAACCTTTGGGCTTCCAGTGTGGCTCAGCTGGTAAAGAATCTGCCTGCAATGCGGGAGACCTGGGTTTGGTCCCTGGGTTGGGAAGATCCCCTGGAGAAGGGAAAGGCTACCCACTCCAGTATTCTGGCCTGGAGAATTCCATAGACTGCATAGTCCATGGGGTCGCAGAGTCGGACACAACTGAGCGACTTTCACTTTCACTTTCTTTCACTTTGAATAACCTTTGGTCCTATTTCTGAATGTGGGCAGGGATCCCTTTGTGGGTGCTCCCTACTATTCCCAGTTGAGTTGCAGGTTTTGTCTGGCTGGTGTCTGGGGAAGGCTGGGGGCAGATGTGACTCAAGTGGACAGGAAGCCCCCACCCTCGAGGCAGAGGGGTCTGGAAAGTTTGTAGGTGCACCATAGCCTGAGAAACCTCTGGTGCCCACCTTGGAATCCCTCCTTTATTTTCGTCAACAAAAGCAACCTCCAGGTCTCTGCCTTTTCTCTGAATTTCCCCATATCTGTGCGTCGGGTTCTGTACGTGGAAAATCACAAAACCTAGAGTGGGAACAGTGTGGTGCACTTGAGGTACTGAACTGTGCCCCTGAGATGGTTTAGACGGTAATTGTCAGGGTCAGGCATATTTCCTCCCAGTTACGTGAGTGCTAAGTGGCTGCAGTCCGTGTCTGACTCTTGCGACCCCATGGACTGCAGCACCAGCGTCAAGTGGTGAGGGGTCAGGCGGGCCAGTGGCCACTTGCAAGCCTCAGCGTGGCTTGGCTGAGTGGCTGCGAACACCGCTGCTCAAGCAGCCTTTCCCGAGGCTCTGGCCTTCCCTCTGCTCTGGGCTGGAGCGGGAAGCAAGCTCCCAGGTCGTAAAAAAACCACCGCGCAAAGCGAAGGACAAACAAGCCTGTGCTGCCCTCTGCTGGGATCCCGGCGCATACCCACCCACTGGAAGGCCTGATGCTGAAGCTGAAGCTCCAATCCTTTGGCCACCTGATGAAGAACTGACTCACTGGAAAAGACCCTGATGCTGGGAAAGATTGAAGGCGGGAGGAGAAGGGGACGACAGACGGTGAGATGGTTGAATGGCATCACCGACTTGATGGACATGAGTTTGAGCAAGCTTCAAGAGTTGGTGATGGAGAGGGAGGCCTGGCGTGCTGCAGTCCATGGGGTCACAGAGTCGGACACGACTGAGCAACTGAACTGAACCCACCCAGAACTCAACAAAACACATGGCGAGGCCTGGTCCAGAGAGCCGGGCAGGCCCTGGAGGACGGTGCAGACCCGGAGTCCTGAAAGGGGGCTCCCAACCCCTTCAGACCCGCTGGCCCCCGCGGCTCGGGCCCGAGCTTCTCAGTGGGGTCCCAGCCCTCCTCGGAGGGTGCAGCCGGCACCACCACCAGCGAGCCGCCCCGGCTTTGCCGCCGGGCCGGGTGAGCATCAGCTGCTCCCCGGCTGGGGAGGGTTAGTCACTCAGTCTGTCCGACTCTTGCGGCCTCGTGGGCTGTAGCCCGTCTACTCGTTTGCTTCTCCAGGGGGACCCTCCCTATGAGCTGTTCGTGTGTTTTGGATCCGCTCACAGTTCCGATTAGGTTGAAGTGAGCTGACAGGAGTTTGTGATCAGCGGGGGGAGGTTTGAGTTCATTTCTGTGTGAGAAGGTGGAGGGGACTCCAGGGAGGTGCTTGGTGGGGCTGCCGGGAACCGTCCCCCCAGAGGAGCGGGTCACGGAAGTCAGAGGGAAGGCGCGGTGGGGCTGCCAGGAACGGTCCCCTCGGAGGAGCAGGTCACGCAAGTGGGAGATGCGTGGCTGGGCTGCCAGGAACGGTCCCCCCGGAGGAGCGGGTCACGGAAGCGGGAGGGAAGGCGCGGTGGGTCATCGCGGCGGAGCGGAACTTACCGAGAAGTGGAGAGGACAGAGCTGAGAGAGCGAGACCCGGGGCGAAGACTTGGCTGTGTTGTTCAGGACAGGGGAAAGAACGCGTGGTTAAAAATCCTTTCTTAGAAACTTTTTGGGGTCATGCTGTGCGGCTTGTGGGATCTCAGGTCCCCGACGAGGGGTTGAACCCAGGCCACGACGGTCAAGGCTCCAAAGCCGAACCACCGGGCCACCAGGGAACTCCTTGGAGACATACTTCTGTTTCAATGTTGCGATGCCCTCTGTTCTGCCCTTCCTCTAGGCAGTGAGTGTCTGGGACTGGCGGGGGCGCGCGTCTGTCTTGGGGCCAGGAGGGGGCGCAGGAGGCTAACGGCGGTGGGGGAGCGGCTGCTCGACGGCCCTGCCCGCTCGCCTCCGTGTCCTTCCCAGGCCGCCGGGGCTGGAGTCCGAGGTGGCCTCACCCGGAGGGCGCCATCCTGTGCTCGTTCCTAGGGCTTTCCCACCTGTTTTCACCAGCTTGGCGACGTGAAACAACAGAAGTTTATCGTCTCCCAGTTCTGGAGGCCAGAGCAGCGGGCAGGAAGTAAGGTCTCGGCAGGGCCATTCTCCCGCGGGAGACTAGAGGACACGCCTTCCTGGCGACCTCACCTCGCGGGGGCTCGCCCTCAGCTCGTGGCTGTGCCTGCGGCCTGGCCTCCACGGCGCCTTGTCTTCATTTCTGCCCCTCACGCAGACACCTGCCGCTGGGGCCGGGACCGCCCTCATCCAGGATGATCTCCTGTCCAGAGCCTTTTGTTTTTTTGCCTATTTTATTAAAACTTTTTTTGGCTGCACCACGTGGCTTGCAGGATCTTAGTTCCCGGAGCAGGGATTAAGCCCACGTCCTCAGCAGCGAAAGCAGTCCTGATCGCTGGACCACCAGGGAATTTCCTCCAGATGCTTAACTTAGTTATATCTGCTAAGACCCTATTTCCAAATAAGGTCCCAGTCTCAGGTTCTGGGGGATTAAGAGATACCTTTGGGGGGTCCCATTCAACCCACTACACTTTTTTTTTCTCTCCAGTTTAATAACCTGGTGGGTGACCCACATTTTATTTTTACTGTATGCCTGCCCATGCTTTTATTGGGTGACTTTATCTAATGCTTACTAGTACCCCTGAGTATTCGTTGTAAGGACTGATGCTGAAGCTCCAATACTCTGGCCACCTGATGTGAAGAATTGACTCATTGGAAAAGACCCTGATGCTGGGAAAGATTGAGGGCAGAAGGAGAAGGAGACGACAGAGGGTAAGATGGTTGGATGCTATCACCAACTCAATGGACATGAGTTTGAGCAAGCTCTGGGAGTTGGACAGGGAGGCCTGGTGTGCTGCAGTCCATGGGGTCGCTAAGAGTCGGACACAACTGAACAACAGCCAGAACAACGAGCCCTGTGGCAGATGGTACCTAGGAGAAAACTGAGGCTTAACAGCTGAGAGGCGGCCCTGCATGCAGATGCCGGGCATGTGGCGGACTCGTCTGGGGTCCGCCGAGCCTGTTGGCGCCTGTGCCTCAGGCACGGGGTCTCTCTGAAGCCCTCCGTCCTGGCTGATTTGAGAATCGGGGGCTCTGGAGACCCCCAGGCAGCTGAGCTCGGGCTCAGCGTCGACCTCAGGCACACTCACGTCCTCCAGACCAGACGTGAAACCTGGGGGTTTCGGTCCTGCAAGGGCACTTCCGTCCTTTCATGGCCCCGCGGTCCTCCCTGGGGCTGCAGCTTCTGGGCTGAGGTCTCAGGAGCCTGGCCCCAGGCTCACCGGGGCCCCGAGACCTGAGGCGCATGGTCAGAGCTAGCTCCCAGGCAGCCCCGGCAGCCCTAGTCACGCCCCTTTGAAGAGACATTTCGGAAGCCGGCCGCCCCCCATGGCCCAGCTGGGAACAGGCCTCTGTCCCCTCAGCGGTCACCGGCAGGAGGCTGGCCACACAGCTCGGGTGAGCAGGACACCGTGAACATCTTCCTTCTCCTTCCTCACTGCATTCTTTGGGGACACTCATCTCAGCCTACGGATAAATCAGCGCTGATGTCACTCCACCATTACAGTTGCTGCTGCCCCGGCCCGCGCCCTGGTCATCTGTGTTGGTGACATCTGCCAACAAGGGTCCAGGGCATAACACCGAGGGGAAAGCTGATCCTGAGGGTCACTTTAAGACATGGACACTTCATGGGTCAGGCCTGAGATGTGTGGAGTCAGCAGACAGCGTCTAGGATGGCTCTCAGACCAGGAAGGCCAGCCTCAGGCCGACTGGGGTTCTGACTGCTAAAGAAGACCCTCCGTCAGAAAGGATGCTGGCAGCAGACGAGGCTGTTGACGGGACTCTGGGCTTGAAGTGTCCAGCTTGCTGGAATCACTACACTTTTTTTTTCTCTCCAGTTTAATAACCTGGTGGGTGACCCACATTTTATTTTTACTGTATGCCTGCCCATGCTTTTATTGGGTGACTTTATCTAATGCTTACTAGTACCCCTGAGTATTCGTTGTAAGGACTGATGCTGAAGCTCCAATACTCTGGCCACCTGATGTGAAGAATTGACTCATTGGAAAAGACCCTGATGCTGGGAAAGATTGAGGGCAGAAGGAGAAGGAGACGACAGAGGGTAAGATGGTTGGATGCTATCACCAACTCAATGGACATGAGTTTGAGCAAGCTCTGGGAGTTGGACAGGGAGGCCTGGTGTGCTGCAGTCCATGGGGTCGCTAAGAGTCGGACACAACTGAACAACAGCCAGAACACCGAGCCCTGTGGCAGATGGTACCTAGGAGAAAACTGAGGCTTAACAGCTGAGAGGCGGCCCTGCATGCAGATGCCGGGCATGTGGCGGACTCGTCTGGGGTCCGCCGAGCCTGTTGGCGCCTGTGCCTCAGGCACGGGGTCTCTCTGAAGCCCTCTGTCCTGGCTGATTTGAGAATCGGGGGCTCTGGAGACCCCCAGGCAGCTGAGCTCGGGCTCAGCGTCGACCTCAGGCACACTCACGTCCTCCAGACCAGACGTGAAACCTGGGGGTTTCGGTCCTGCAAGGGCACTTCCGTCCTTTCATGGCCCCGCGGTCCTCCCTGGGGCTGCAGCTTCTGGGCTGAGGTCTCAGGAGCCTGGCCCCAGGCTCACCGGGGCCCCGAGACCTGAGGCGCATGGTCAGAGCTAGCTCCCAGGCAGCCCCGGCAGCCCTAGTCACGCCCCTTTGAAGAGACATTTCGGAAGCCGGCCGCCCCCCATGGCCCAGCTGGGAACAGGCCTCTGTCCCCTCAGCGGTCACCGGCAGGAGGCTGGCCACACAGCTCGGGTGAGCAGGACACCGTGAACATCTTCCTTCTCCTTCCTCACTGCATTCTTTGGGGACACTCATCTCAGCCTACGGATAAATCAGCGCTGATGTCACTCCACCATTACAGTTGCTGCTGCCCCGGCCCGCGCCCTGGTCATCTGTGTTGGTGACATCTGCCAACAAGGGTCCAGGGCATAACACCGAGGGGAAAGCTGATCCTGAGGGTCACTTTAAGACATGGACACTTCATGGGTCAGGCCTGAGATGTGTGGAGTCAGCAGACAGCGTCTAGGATGGCTCTCAGACCAGGAAGGCCAGCCTCAGGCCGACTGGGGTTCTGACTGCTAAAGAAGACCCTCCGTCAGAAAGGATGCTGGCAGCAGACGAGGCTGTTGACGGGACTCTGGGCTTGAAGTGTCCAGCTTGCTGGAAATGCTGGTTAATGAGATGGGTGTCTGGGTCAGTTCAGCCTGGATCCTGGATTCTTCAGCGTCTCCATCAGCATTTCCCCTGGTTCCTAACATGCTTACAATCTCTTCACCCGTCCCCACAGGCCTGCTTCCGGGGAGGGCTCACCTGGCCTTCCCCAACAAGCATACTTCATCTTCCCGGTGGGAATGCCGCTGTGGGCCCTGAAACCAGGCTACTTCCCGGGACCACAAGGTCAGGTGACCCCAAAGTGTAAAATCCAGTTTTAATTCATTGTTAATCGGCTATACCCCAATACAAGATAAAAAAGTTAAAATAAAATGTTAATGGTAGCTTTTCTCTTTATGAACAGGATCCTCACTCACGATTCTGTGTGAATTTGCCAGTTTACTTATTTATGGTTTGTTTATAATCCCCAAATCAATACTTGCAGCCCATCGATGACCATTCAAGGACGTGTGCAGACTGGTGGTGCGCTCATCTCCCTGACGTCCGTGTTCTCAGCTGAGGAGAAATGAGACAGTGCCCTGCCTTCTTGCTTCAGCTTTCCTGCAGACGTGACTTCTGAAGGCAGGGGAAGGCAGTGCAGGGTGAGCTCTGCCTCTGGGGCCCGCCGGGCGGGTCTGGATCCCGACACTGGACCGTTAGCTGGGGGGCCTCAGCCAAGTCACTTAATAGTCTGAACCTCATTTTTTTAATACAGCAAAACAAATCTACCAGGATAAATTGTTTTTAGGAGTTAAGGTTATAGTCTATTTGAGATATGTGTATGTGTGAAACACACACACTCCCCCTAGGAGCAGTGGCTCTGTATTTGCTAATTTAGTATTCATAGCAACACTGCAGAATATTACTACTGTGAATAACAATATAATTTATATATGACTTGTTAAACCAATCTGCATTCCTGGGATAAATCTCACTTGCTCATGGTGTGTGACCCTTTTAATACGTTGCTAGACTTACTTTGCTAGTATTTTGATGATTTTGTGTCTATAGTCATAATAGCTACTGCTCTACAGTTTTCCTGTGATGTTTCTGGTTTTGTATTACAATTTGCTCCTGCCAAACTGACATGAGTAATGGTGGCTGCGATGGCTTGAAATGAAGGCGTCCGCAGTCCGGCTGCAGCGACAGCCATCTGACGGCAGCGCGTTGCTCGAGCTGCTGAGATGCGAGTGGTAAGCGCCGGAGAAGGAGTCCCGAGGCGGGCGGTAGCGGGCTGCCCCCGCGGAGCCGGCGGCAGGGCTGTGGTAGGGGCCGTCACACATGACGCAAGTCTGGAAGCGCGTCTTGCTCCCTGAGCCCCGGTGGATGTCGAGTTTTGCGATGAGCGGCTTTCCAACATTTACCTCCCGCTTTTCCTCTACGGTGTCTTCCAGTCCCGAGTACTGATACGACAGGCAGACTGTGAAGACCAGATGTTCCTGGGGAGGAGGAGAGATGAGGTTTGTCCTTTTCATCAACCAGGGGAGTGTGTCAGCTTTAGGATACCATTCACACACACACATCCAGACAAAACCACACAGCAGCCAAAAACAGCCAGTCTCACTCTCCTTTCCCAGGTTCCAGACCCTCAAAGTAGCCTTGACGTTTCCCTTATACTAAGAAAGGTTAGCTAGAACCAGCTTCCATTTTCCTCATTCCATACATTGAATTAGTATAGATAGAATCACAGAGATCTTGTATTACATTCCCAATGAACAGTGAAGACATATTTTTTCAATCAGTGGGGCTTGGAAAACTGTCTTTCCCTATTACTGGAGACAGGGCGTGATCTTTTAATGAAAGAGTAATCAGCTTTATGGGACTTCCCTGGTGGTGCAGTGGATGGGCGTCTGCCTGCCTGTGCAGGGGATGCTGGTTCAATCCCTGGTCAGAAGGTCCCATGTGCTGAGGAGCAAATAAGCCCATGCCTGCAACTACTGAGCCCACGCTCTAGAGCCTGTGGGCTGCAACGACCAAGCCCGCAGGCGGCAGTCACTGAAGCTGTGAGCTGCACCTGCTGAAGCCCGTGTGCCTAGAGCCTGTGCTCTGCCACGAGAAGCCAGCTCAGTGAGAAGCCCAAGCAATGCAAGCAGGAGCAGCCCCGCTCCCCGCAACTAGAGGAACGCCCACGCTCAGCCACGAAGACCCAGCACGTCCCCCCCCCCCCCAAAAA